AGGTCGGAGAGCACGAAGTGTGTGACTGTTTGCGAAAAACGAGTTCGGACACGAGTTCGGACACAGCTCCCTGGATGCCGCCCAGACCCCCCTGTGGAGTCATCTGCTGCTCTCTTTTGAGACCACTAGAAACCTATCAGGAAAAGCTGTTAGGTAATAATCAAATTATCCCGGCAAAGCAACCTAACAGCGATGTGTAGGAGCATATCTGGAAGCATTCCCCTTAAGATTCGGATGAGAATCCAGTTGTAGGATTCTGCTGTTCTTGCAGTCGTAGTCGCATTCGCGATGACAGTCGCAGTGGCAACGGCAGTCGCAGTCGCAGTCACAGCCTCAGCCTCAGCCTGCCTCAGCCTCAGCCTCAGCCTGCCTCAGCCTCAGCCTGCCTCAGCCTCAGCCTCAGCCTGCTTCAGCCTCAGCCTCAGTCTGCCTTCAGCCTCGGCCTCAGCCTCAGCCTGCCTCAACCTCAGCCTGCATCAGCCTCAGCCTCAGCCTCAGACTGCCTCAGCATCAGCCTGCTTCAGCCTCAGCCTCAGCCTGCCTCAGCCTCAGCCTCAGTCTGCTTCAGCCTCAGCCTCAGTCTGCCTTCAGCCTCGGCCTCAGCCTCAGCCTGCCTCAGCCTCAGCCCGCATCAGCCTCAGCCTCAGCCTCAGCCTGCCTCAGCATCAGCCTGCCTCAGCCTCAGCCTCAGCCTGCCTCAGCCTCAGCCTCAGCCTGCTTCAGCCTCAGCCTCAGTCTGCCTTCAGCCTCGGCCTCAGCCTCAGCCTGCCTCAGCCTCAGCCTGCATCAGCCTCAGCCTCAGCCTCAGCGTGCCTCAGCCTCAGCCTGCCTCAGCCTCAGCCTCAGCCTGCCTCTGCCTCGACTCAGCCTCCGCCTTGCCGCAGCCTCAGCATTGCATCAAGCCTCGCCTGAGTCCTCAGCCATGCCTCAGCCTCAGCCCTGCCTCAGCTCAGCCTCAGCGCCTCAGCCTCAGCCTCAGCCTCTCAGCCTCAGCCTCAGTCTGCCTTCAGCTCGGCCTCAGCTCCGTGTTTGTCGGTTCTCGTCTGCATTTCAGCCTCGGCTCCTCCGCCTCAGCCTGCCCTCAGCCTCGCTCTGCCATCAGCTCAGCTCAGCCGCTCAGCCTCAGCCTCAGACTGCTTCAGCCTCAGCACTCAGTCTGCCTCAGCCTCGGCATCAGCCTCAGCCTGCCTCAGCTCAGCGTGCATCAGCCATCAGCCTCAGCCTGCCTCATCATCAGCCAGCTCAGCATCAGCCAGCCTCAGCCTCCTCCTCAGGCTGCCTCGCCTCCAGGAGCCTCAGCCGCTTCAGCCTCAGCCTCAGTCTGCCTTCACCCTCGGCCTCAGCCTCAGTCTGCCTCAGCCTCAGCCTGCATCAGCCTCAGCCTCAGCCTCAGCCTGCCTCAGCATCAGCCTGCCTCAGCCTCAGCCTCAGCCTGCCTCAGCCTCAGCCTCAGCCTGCTTCAGCCTCAGCCTCAGTCTGCCTTCAGCCTGGGCCTCAGCCTCAGCCTGCCTCAGCCTCAGCCTGCATCAGCCTCAGCCTCAGCCTCAGCCTGCCTCAGCATCAGCCTGCTTCAGCCTCAGCCTCAGCCTGCCTCAGCCTCAGCCTCAGTCTGCTTCAGCCTCAGCCTCAGTCTGCCTTCAGCCTTGGCCTCAGCCTCAGCCTGCCTCAGCCTCAGCCTGCATCAGCCTCAGCTCAGCCTCAGCCTGCCTCAGCATCAGCCTGCCTCAGCCTCAGCCTGCCTCAGCCTCAGCCTCAGCCTGCTTCAGCCTCAGCCTCAGTCTGCCTTCAGGCTCGGCCTAAGCCTCAGCCTGCCTCAGCCCAGCCTGCCAGCCTCAGCCTCAGCCTGCCAGCATTCAAAATGTGGCCGGGAATGGAGTTCTGGGAACTCGAAGACCACGAAGTGGCCTACAGTTGGCTCCGGGCATTCAAAATGTGGCCCAGGAATGGAGTTCTGGGAACTCGAAGAGCACGAAGTGGCCTACAGTTGGCTCCGGGCATTCAAAATGTGGCCCGGGAATGGAGTTCTGGGAACTCGAAGACCACGAAGTGGCCTACAGTTGGCTCCGGGCATTCAAAATGTGGCCCGGGAATGGAGTTCTGGGAACTCGAAGAGCACGAAGTGGCCTACAGTTGGCTCCGGGCATTCAAAATGTGGCCCGGGAATGGAGTTCTGGGAACTCGAAGAGCACGAAGTGGCCTACAGTTGGCTCCGGGCATTCAAACTGTGGCCCGGGAATGGAGTTCTGGGAAGTCGAAGAGCACGAAGTGGCCTACAGTTGGCTCCGGGCATTCAGAATGTGGCCCGGGAATGGAGTTCTGGGAGGTCGAAGAGCACGAAGTGTGTGACTGTTTGCGAAAAACGAGTTCGGACACGAGTTCGGACACAGCTCCCCGGATGCCGCCCAGACCCCCCTGTGGAGTCATCTGCTGCTCTCTTTTGACCCCACTAGAAACATATCAGCAAAAGCTGTTAGGTAAAAATAGTCTGGGGACTATTTTTTTAGTATTTGTTTGCCTTTTTGGGGTATGATTTTTGGGTATTTTTTATTTTTCGTCGACAATCCCCCTGTAGGGGGACACGCCCGACATAAGCCCAATCCCCCGCTTGCGTCCGGCCCGAGATGTTCGGGGTGGGCACGTCGAGCTCCCCAATCGCAGAGCTACCGCAGCCCACCAAAAAAGAAACCCGGGGCACCCTGGAGGCGAGCGGGGTGCTTCCTGGCACGGGCCTCCGCTGCGACTTGGCGCCTCCGTCGGCCCTCGGAGGCGAAGAGTGAAGAAGGGGCCCACGAGCACACACAGAGGAATACACACACACAGACAACAGAATGTTCCCCTTATGTTCCCATGTATTTTTTTGGTTTTTGTCTTCCCCCCCCACTTCCCATGTTTTCCCATCTTTACTGGGGACTCGAGGATTAATTGTGTCTGTGTGTCTCCCCCTCCTGGTATACCTCGGTCCGACCGCACTTCTTCGCTGGACCCGAAGCCGGAGTCGGGCCCGTCGTCGTGACACACCCCTCACACACACACACACACACACACACACACACACACCGCGTCTTCGGGTGTCCTCGCTGGTGGGGGGATCGACGATGAATTTGTGCCTCTGTGAGTTTCGTTTCCCCTCCGGAAGGAGGCCCGCCCGGGAGCGCCTCCGGGGGGCGGGGGCGCACCCCTGACTACTTACCAGACCACCCCAACCCAACCCGAAGACCCGAATTTCGGGTTGGGGGGGGTACGGGCTCCATATGTGTTTTTTCGATGTTCCCCGGCCCCCCCCCACTGGAAATGGAGGGCAAATTGAGGCCTTCGGGTTGGGTTGGGCTGGTTTGGTGGGTGGTGAACCCCTCTGGGCGGCGCCGAGGGGGAGGCGCTGCGGCGGGGCGCAGGGCCCTCTGCGGGGGCGGAGGGGGGGGCGGGGGAGGGCCCAAGCCCGGCGGCCGCGGGGCTCGGGCGAGGAGAGCTATGCTCATGTCGGGCGCGTCCCCCTACAGGGGGATTGTCGACGAAAAATTGAAAATACCCCAACAAGAATCCAAAAATAGTCCACAAATAATCTGGGGGCTATTTTTTGAATAGTTGTTGGCCATTTGGGGGGCATTTGGGGGGCATGTTTTATTTTTCGTCGAAGATCCCCCTGTAGGGGGACAGGCCCGACCTAAAACTATGCATATGCACCGATCCTGACAACGTCCATCCTGGACCCAGGATCGGTGCATATACCTCCCTGGCCAAGGCAAGAGGGCGTACGCACCGATCCTGGGCTCAGGGTGGGCATGGCCAGAATCGGTGTATGTGCACAGTTCTCTCTCCTCCAGAGGGGCCCGAGGACACACAGATACGTACACGCAAATAACAGGATCCCCCACATTTTCCCATACGCGCTGGCTTCTCGCCTTCCCCCCCCACTTCCCATATTCTCCCATCTTTCCCTGGGAGCCGAAGATGACTTGTGCCTGTGTGTTGCCTCCCCTCCTGGGTGGAGCCGAGGCAGGCCGAGCGGCATTCCGCTGCGGCGGTGCCCACTCGCGCACGGCCCGGCCGAGGACAGGCGAGCGCCCCACAGGAGCAATGAGCCGCTCCGCCAGCCGAGGGCACCCTCCCCGGGATGCACAGGAGACTTCAACTAGTATTAGGTCGGGCCTGTCCCCCTACAGGGGGATGCTGGACGACAAACCAAAAATACCCCCAAAGTGCCCAAAAGATGCCCAGAAATACCCCAAAACATAGTCCCCAGACTATTTTTGTTGACTATGTTTGAGCATTCCCCCTGTAGAGGGACAGGCCCGACTCAAAACTAGTACGAAGAACACTGGGGCACCCTCCCCCAACCAGCCTCGATCTTACAGTCAAAAACCCTAACAAGGACGCGCGGTGAGGACGCAAGACCCTTGGAAGCCGAAGTTGGGATTTTTGGAGCGGCGGACGACAAAAACCAAGACGAAAGAGGCCAAGGACGAGCCGCAAGAGCAAGGAAGAGCAAGGACGCAAGGGTACCCTGAGCAAAGTCGCGCGTCCTTATCAGGGTGTTTGACTGTATACCTCGGTCCGACCGCACTTCCTCGCTGGACCTAAAACTGGAGTCGGGCCCGTCGTCGTGGCACACCCGCATGTCTCACACACACACACACACACACCGTCTGTTTGGATATCTTCTCTGACGGGCCAAGGAATCGCACCACCGGTGATAGCTGTGGGTGCAACAAGTCACGAAAGCCGTGTCCTTGTGAAGCGCGTGACAAGGCGATGCTCTCAGATGGACGCAGACACGCAACACACACACACACACACACACACAAACACCCACACACACCAGCACAACCACATCAGAATCAACAACATAGCCGCCACCAAATCCATAATCAACATAGACATCACCACCGCCTCCTCCTCCTCCGCCTATTCCTGCGCCGTCAAACACTACCATCTCCATCAGCATCGCATCGCCGTCATTCGCTCACTCTGTCCTCATGCCTCTAAATATGAAAGGGCCCGACCCTAAACATCTGCTTGGCCACGCTGGTATCGTCCATCTCCAGCGCGACGATGAACTCTTCGTACTCGATGGCGCCACTCTGGTCGGTATCGATCTCCTGGAATCTCCTCTGGGCGAAGAGCTGATCACATGTGTGGGTGGTGGATTCCTCCTTCACGAGAACCGCGCCCTCCCTTTCTCTGTTAGGTAACACGCAACGACGTTTAATGTCAGGCGTGTATACACGTGCATGCGGTAACTTGATTGGGGGAGGAACCCGAAATTGCAGCCGGCAGCGCGCACGTCACCACCCAAGAAACACCTGCATATCACGGAATGTCAACAAACCGCTGATGGCCCCGACCCCTACCACAAACGGCGATAAACCGTTGATCTCCGCTTTCGTGTTTTCGTCAGGGTCGCAAAATTCCTGTCAACCCCGATGGAGTTTCTAAATTGAAAGCTCGATCGAGCTGAATGAACCGAGTTGGGTTACGGGACGCAGTGCTGTGGCAAAAACACTGCGAAGTGTATCTCACCCAGGTTCATACCGCCCAGGACGCCTTACCCATTGGGGTCTCCCCCGCGCCAGCGTCGTGTTGGGGTCTGACGGTCCGACCCCGTGGCTGGCAGGCGACGAGGAACGGGGGAGGCGATGCTCGACCGAGAGAAGGGGGATTTTTTTAGATTGCGCATCTGATTCGCCTGGTGACGGTCAGAGAAAGAGCGGCGCTGCGGCTAGCAGACTTAAAAGGCTGCGCGGGCACCAAGTGAACAAGCACAGTACAGTACCTCCATCCCACCACCCATGAAATGCACAAACCCACCCAGTCCCATAGTATTAACTGCGCCAGCGACTGGATGCGAGGCAGCAATGTGGCACTGGCAAGGCGCGGCCACTGTCGACTGGAGGCATTTGGCATGGACAGCTCCTGCGTCCGTACTAAAACTCGAATCTCGCACCAAGGCAAGGTGTATCTCAGCACACAGTTCGGGCTTAACGCCGAGTGCAAGTCCCACCTCCAAAACATCCTTAAACAACCCACCAACCTCCACTAGTCATTAAACGCCAGCTTGGCTGATTTTCAACCGTGGTCAGGAGAGAGCGTACGGAACAACAGAGGGGCGGTCCTGCCACGGTGTTCCCAACTTTCCCTGTCCGCCAGGGCTCGATTCTCTCTGATCACAGCATTGGAAAGGGAGGGCAAGATGGGGAGAGAGGGCGGCTGCGTCTGACTCGCTGCAGTCTCATTCGATCCGTCCGACTAGGTCTCGTCTACCAACGGACCTAGTTGCGCCACTGCCAACTGTCTGAGCTGAAGAGACTGCACTCTCATCCCTCCCGACGACTCCAAACCTTGTCTGCAAGGCAACAGCAAGAAAGGCTGGCGGCAGGCGAGGGCTGCGGCGCGCAGCCGCATGAGCACCTGGCTGGCGGCCGCGCGGACTGACGGACACACGGGGGTTCGGTGCCACACGCAACGGGTGTGTGGTTAGCGACGGTCTACGCTCACCGAGCCCCCTGCCGCTGCCCCCCACGGGCCAAGGCTTGAAGCTTGACATTCGGTCGGTGACAGAAGCACGGGGGGCGCACCTCTGTCCAGGTTGACGAGGAGAGAGAGGCGGCGTCAAGAAACAAACGGAGGGGCGAGGCGAGGAGTCGCTCGCTGCTACACTGCCGCGCCGCTCGCTCGCGCCGGGCGGCGGGGGCGGCGGGGCGGGCGTGCGGCGGCGGGGCGGCGGGGCACGCGCGCGCGCCCTGCTCTCTGCTCTCCCCCACGTCCGCTGCAGCCCTCTAAACCTCATCCTCCACTCCTCCAGGGCGGCACGAGCCACAGCTGCGGCCTCGCCAGCAACTCCAGTCTGCCTGGCTCTCAGGACACTATACCGAAGCCTGTCACATCTCACGCCAAAGCCGAGCGGTTGACCAACTAACCCATGGGCATACTCCTCTTCCAGAGGGCGCATCTGGTCCTGGGTCTTAGGAGCCTGGAGGCGTTTGCCAATGGCGGCGGCCATCTGGGAGCACGGGCGAAATAGATAGGGATCAACACGTACACACAGGCACGAGGGGAACTGCAAGCTCGAACGAGCAGCCCACACACGATATGGTCGGCAACAGGCCCAAAGAGGCAAGCCGTGCAATGGTAACTGCAAGCTCATTTAACGGGAGGGGAAGTATCCCACGGAAACCTCCAGCAAGGGGAAACTGGCAAAACCAACGTCAGCTTGCAAGAACCATAGCATCATCCACAGGCTGTCTAGGTAGCGCTGCTACGACAAGTACTGGCAACGGGATGGTGGAGTAGGGGCAATCGGGCATGGGACAGCGAGGTGCACTGACAAAATCACCAACCATCCACCTCCTCATCATCAACCTAAACCCATCCCAATCGGTATGCATCGAGCGACGTTAGACCTGGGGCATGTCCAAAATACCCGTACCGAATCCAGGCTGGAATGTCCAGGGAGCGATGCGTTGAGCGAGCCGTTGACGGCGTCGCTCTCGAGCCTGTGCTCGGTTAGCCGCAATACGTGCACGCAACGCATCAGTCAACTCTACGGGCTGAGGGGGGAGCGGAGGGGGAAGAGAGGACGCGGTAGGCTCATGCAGTGGCTCGGAGTCCCCTGGCTGAGGGGGTATGGTGCCATCGAGGAATGCCAAAGCGTCTGCGTATTCCTGCTCTTCCGAGGCCTCGATGGGCCCTGGGGGGCGGGCCTCAGCCTCGGGATCAAAAACAACTCCAGGCATGGGCTGAGTGGACGACTGCGGCTCAGGTGGCAGGAACCGATGTCGCTCGGGATCCGCTCGAGTCCGACTAGCACGCGTCGACACAAAATCTGGGGCCCAGGACTCGTCCGTACCGACGTACGGGTCCCATGAAACGTAAAAAGCTGCAAGCGACCCACGGAGCTCCTCCTCCTCCTCCCTCATGTCCTCTGGCCAATCATGCTCTGCACACGTCACGCGCATATGATTGACTGCGTCCATTATGCTGTATGCGAGAACTTGACATAGGGCCGGAGGGTAGGTTTTCTTTTTGGCCGTACGCCACTCGTCACGTCGCCTGTCGAACCCCATGAGTACCTCGTGAGCCCCACGTCCGTGAGAACAACGTCCACGCCCAGGTGTCTCGCACAAGCGTCCGTGCATTGTGCCCATGCGCAGTGCAAGTATCCTTGTAGGTGCACGTGCAACCTGACCGTGCTCGCACTGATCAAAGTCGGTCACCGACGCTGCTGGGGATGCCATAACAGCCCGCAGGGGCGGGCAATAGAATGAACTGACCGAGTCGGGTCGCCAGCGCGCAGGCATAGGATGTTCCATCCAGCATGAGGTACCGACGGTGAGATGCACGGCGAACAGTTCGATCATCGCCCCTAATAGTTCATTACCAACACGTAACTGCTCCATTTGTCGGGGAGTGACGGCCAGCAAACCCCAGAAATCGGCATGGGACCGTAGGGGGGGAGGGCCTGCATCAGGGGACCAACGGATAGCTGACCACGTCTCACAGGGTGGCCCGCCGCCTGACAAGACAACTCGCCTGGCTCGTATATGCTCCTTCCATACCTCCAGCGTTTCGCGTCGCATCATGTTACCTAGTACTGGGTCGATCGCTATATCGATAGATAAAACCGAAATGGTGAAGTCGGTATGATACTCGGTCCATTCGAGGCAGGCCTGGATGTCACCAGGCCGTCGTCGGCCACAGTACAGGTTAAGCACGAAATATTCCGACCGTCGGATAGCAATGGGCAAATCCTGAGCAGCAATGTCGGTAAACTGCTCGGTCAAGAACATTCGTGTCGGGTAGCGCTCGTGGTAGACCGGTGGTGGTTGGCCTGGCTCAGGGGCATCTCCTTCGGCCACAGCGGGCCGTGGTGGTGGCAGGAGTGCGGCACAAGCCTCTGGAGTGAGATACGGGTCACTTTCCAAAAGGGCTCGGCGGGCATCTTCCTGAGACACCAACGCGGCAAGGTCGAACGCAATCTCGGTGATGGGGCCCGGCGTCCGAACTGTGGGTACGACAACGTGGCGACGAGGGATATGTACGTTGGTGGTATGTCCACGTGGTAGTATCGGTTGGGCAGGTAGCTGTAGGTGGTAGGCTGGATTGTCCATAGTCAGCACTGCAGCCAGCAAGCAGCGAGGCGAATCGATCGACAGATGATCCACTAGATGTGGCCGTGCATTGTACCTGAGCAGACATGTTTGACATACCCCTGACGGGTTGGCATAGCCACGTGCAAGTGTAGTTAGTTGCCTATGTACACGAGCCACGTGTGTGCGTAGCGCCCGATGCCGTGCAAAAGACTGCCCACACCAAGGGCAGTCCATACTCTGTGCTGGGGTAGGCGGCGGCTGCTGTATAATACATCCACGTTCATCGGTGTATACCCGGGGGGGGCACTCCCGCAGGGCGTACTTCATCAAAGAACTGGGACTCCATGTGTGCTGCAAGTGTGTTGCGCGTCGTGTACTGTGTATATGCATGCACTCCGATGCGAATGATGCGCTTCCAGGCGGGTAGGCTGCGTCGTATGAGGTCCTCCCACGGTTGTAGGTCCTCCTTGGGCGGGGGTAAATCCTGACATTGTCTAGTGGCAAGGCGCAACCACTCAAGATCCTGCAACCATTGTCCAAGGGTCGTGCGACGTCGTTTTGTGTCGGTGGCGGCTGCATGCCACTCAGCTGCCACAACCGAAAAGGCCAGCAGGGGCCCTGTATGAAACAGTGAACCCAATAGCCGGAGTCGTGCAGCACGTAATAGGATAGCAGGGGCCGGCCTGCGTAACCTAGCAAGCACCAGAGCGTCGGACACCTGAGACGCGTCCTCGCAATACCGAACACGGGCAGCTGCGCGATATACCTTCATAGTCTCACCGTGGGCCAGCTTAGCTTCGGCGTCTGACAGTACGGGCCACGCGCCAGCGTTGTATAGTCGCCCGGACAGAACTAGACTGTCTGCGAGCACGAGCCTATGGGCGAGGTCTAGTTCGTCCGTTGCAAAAACGCGGCGTCGAAGTACCTGTAGTGACGAGACAGTGGTAGCCGCACGGTAGCGAATCTCGGGCGCCATAACAGTGCCTGCATCGAAAACGGAACCCAGATGCACATAGTTAT